TGCCGCTGGGCCCGCCTCTGTATGGCCCCTTCCTTGTCACGCAGTTTGCAGCCACCACCTGCGGCCACCACCTGCGGCCCGATGACTCAGGCTCGGCTGCTTTCTCTCTGCTGGTCTCGTTACCGGGCCCTGCGTGCCCGTGCCCAGCACACGCGCCACGCTGCCCAGGCTTTCTCCTTGCGAACCCCGGAAGAGCCAGCGCTGCCTCGGGGAGTCGGGGGCACCAGCGAGCATGGGGCACCCTCTGGCCCCTCCCAGGCCCTCGTGTCCTAGTCAGAGGATGCGTCCAGGCGGGGTCCGGCTTCGCCGCACCAGGAGCCGCTGGTATTCCTGGAGATGCCGCACGTCGAGCCTGTTTCCTGGGGGACACCCCGGCACTCCGCTGCTCACTGCGGCCGGGGAAGGACGGGGGCCTGTGGGGCCTGCTGCCACGCGTCCTGCCCACACAGGCTCGTGGTAAACCGACTTCATGCCGTCTGAGGAGCAAAGGGCACCTGTCATTAATTCGCTAGTGACTGCTCCTCACGTTTCTGTTATGCACGTGGATGGCACCTTAAAACGCTTTCCCCGTTACTCAGCAGGCTCACAGCAGGCCTAGGGGGTTTTGCTTTGCTCGGTTCGCTTTAGCCGCCCAGAGCCCCGCAGACTGACTGACTCCGTGGCCGGTGCGTAAACAGTGCTTCTCTCGTTTTCAGATTACTCCAAAGGTTTTGGTGGCAAGTATGGCGTCGACAAGGACAAGGTGGACAAAAGCGCTGTCGGCTTCGAATATCAAGGCAAAACGGAGAAGCACGAGTCCCAGAAAGGTGGCTTCGGTTTTATCTTCGCCTGCGGGCGCTGCTAACGGGATAGGTGCTCACGGGAGTGGAAACCAGAACGTAGCCTGCCTCCCAGCGTGGTGTCTCCGCGGTTAAACGCACAGCTGTAAGACAGCTAAACACCGCTGTTCAGTGAGGAAGCATCTTCACACCTTCTGGGGCCCTCGCACCCCAGGAGTGTCACTTCTGACAGCCGTGCATTGCACGTCTGTTTGTAAATGGTGGCACTGTGGTGGCTCATTAGTGCTGATTTTAAGCTGCGGGCCTTGGAGCTTTTGATGTGGGATGCTGTCTGTGTTGATTCACAATACTGAGATCATAGGTTAGGTTTCTCTCTAAATGTCCTACATAAGGTCCTCTTAACATGACCCAAAGTTTTACCAAAGGTCTGGGAGAGAAAGGTCGGGTTTGGCCAGTCGCTTGTGTTCACTGCGTTGGAAACGTGCTTTCTGCCTGTCACCCAAGCTGCCCATTAATTCCGGATTGTGGCCTTCGTTCATGCAGACTACGTGAAAGGGTTTGGAGGGAAATTCGGTGTGCAGACAGACAGACAAGACAAGTGTGCTCTGGGCTGGGATCACCAGGAGAAGCTGCAGCTGCATGAGTCCCAGAAAGGTGCGGCCCCTCCCGTCCGGTCCCCTCACGTCCCCTCCCGTCCCCTCTGGTCCCGTCCCATCCCCGGGGGCGTTTCCGGGGGGCCCGGTCTCGTGCCCGGGTCCCTTAACTTGCCGCCTTCTCGCTGTGCTTGTGTAGCAGCGTCGTTTTGTCTTCGCCGTTTGGGGTTGTCCTAAGGGCAGCCTGTCCTGCTTACGAAGCCGCCATTGCTGGCGGCATTTCTGGGAGAACTGTTTTCGACCCTCACGGTGCAGCCCCAGGGGTGACGGTGTCCCTACTCCAGGGCCTCTCGTTGATAGTGTGCCCACCGAGAGGGTGCCCTGGCCCCAGGCAGAGCAGCGTGCGGGAGGGGAGGCCTCTAGTGTGCCGCAGACGCACGCCACCTGCAGCCGGCGGCCGGGGGTGGGGCTGACCGCTGCGGCGGAAGGCCGTGTGTGACTGTCTCTCTTCACGTGCACAGAGACGCGCTGTCTCGTCTGCAGCCCGGGTAGGACCCGAGACAGACCTCGGAGCATGGACTGGCTTTGCTGAGTTATTTTAGTACAGTTCCCAGCTAACCTGTTTTCGGATCTGGACTGAAGTGCCCGGATTTTAAGTGTGTTCTCTAACCTTCCGCGTGCACCCTTGACGGCCTGTGACGCCGGCAGCTGGCTCCGTAGCCCCGAGCCGGGGAGCGCGCCCGCCGCCTCTGAAGCACGTGCCTGACTCCTTCCTGCACGTGCTCGTTCTGGTCTAACCGACCTGCGTTTCCTCCTGGTGTCTTCTCCACTGTCGCTTGTGGATTTTCGGATTGTGAGGCTGGTTTCGGAGGCAGATTTGGTGTTCAGTCCGAGAAGCAGGACGCCTGCGCTGTGGGGTTTGATCACGAGGAGGGACCGGCCAAGCACCAGTCTCAGCAAGGCACAGGTGCTCACCAGTCCTCCCCCAGCAGCCACTTCTAGCACAGACTTCAGGGCTCAGCCTTCCGAGTCACCCGGGCCAGCCAAGTCGGGACACTTGGTGTTTTGGACCCAGCTTGTTGGTGGAGCGATACTAACTCGCACCCCCTCTTCCCCCGTTCATTTTTCCCCTCATAAGCTTTGGGTTTTGTGTTGGGTGAAACGTGGTTGTAGTTGGCAGGTGATGTCACTCGAGACCCCTACTGCGGCCAGTTTGTGGAATGGGGCGTCTGGTCTCCCAGCAGCCTTTGTAGGAGGTCTTGCTATTGACCGTGACTTCTGTGAGGAATGGACTAAGCCGCTTTACTGCCTCCGAGGCGGGAGACGTGTCGGGTTCAGTCAGACCGCCGGCCTTCAGCCCCAGGCGTGGCAGCGAGGGGCACATACGGTGTCTGTCTCATTCGCGGTGGTGTGTTTTGGCTCAGGGTGGGAGCTGCTTTTGTTACTCATTTTTTTTTTTTGATGACACCATCTATGTGTAACTTCACATAGAGCCAAGCGGTGTGTCCATAAAGCTAAAAAGAGACAGGAAATCTTCAGGGTTACAGGTCGGTTGTCTGACAGGTAAACGCGTTTTTCCTTAGAGCAGTTGTTTAACTACTGTCAAAATTCGGACTTGGGTGTTAGAACCCGACACGCGAGTGGAAGACGAGTGGCATCTTGTCCCCCCATACTGCGTGACGGTGTGACCGTTAGCTAGATCTGTGTCGCTGTGATATGAGTGTTTGGCTGGCAGAATTTCCCCAAGGAATTTTTTTTTTCTTTTAAAAAGCAAGAGAAACGTAGCAGTTGAGCCTCCCAGTAGCGCTCTGCACGGCAGGGCCACGGGGGCCGGGGGAGCCCGTGCTGTGAGTGGCGCTCTGCGGGGCTCTGCGTCCCCTCGGTTCACCGCTGTCCCTTGGGAGGACGTGGGAAGCATGCGCGCGCCCCTCTGCCCGCCCTGCCTGAACTCGGTGGGAGCAGAACCCGCCTTGCAAGGAAGGGCTCGTCGCTTGGGGCTTCTCGTTTCTTTTGCTCGGGGAGTGTTTTCCGGGCGTCTCGGGCCCTTTGGCCTGCGTCCCTGTGGGCACCGCGCCCGTCCTCGCCCTGAGGTACGTGCTGTGTCCTGCTGCATTTCAGACTACGCCAAAGGCTTCGGCGGGAAGTACGGCGTGCAGAAGGACCGCATGGACAAGGTGAGCGCGTCGCGCCCTGGGGCTCGCATCCCCCACCCCTTCCCCGGTCGGTCCGGGAAGTCGCAGAGCTCTCAGTGTCAGCGTGCGGTCCCGTGGGTGGCCTCAGATGGACGGACATTTGAGTCAGATGTGTGTCCTCCTCCCCATGGCGGTGAGGCAGCTCACACGTGTGCCAGGCCTCTTCTGGTACGTCACGGGTCCCCTGTCCTGTCCCCCTACAGCCGTGCTGTGAGGCTGATACTGTCCGTGTCCCATTTTAGTACTGCCTCGTTAACCCTGAGAGCCACACGTCCCCTCTGCCTCTCTGTCACCCGCCCCTCCCGCCCCGTGTCGTACAGCAGGGAAGCCTGGGCCTTAGGTGCAGGAGCTGCCTGGGTCTCGGTGTTGTCCATTCTGTGGGTTTGGACAGCGGTACAGTGACAAGTATGCCATGTAGTGTCCTGCAGATCAGCCCCACGGCCCTAGAAATCCTGTATCCGCCTGTCTGCCCCCGTCTGTGGATAGTTTATTCTGATCCCGACACGTGTGACCACGAGCACGTGTGCGTCCTAAGCTGGTCGTGCCTCAGTTAACTTGGAAAACGGAAGAGGAATGAGACCTCTGGGCTCCCTGGTCGGTCCTTTCGGGGGACCGGGGCGGGCCTCGGTGTGCGCATAGGGAGATGCCGTCACAGGGCACGGAGGAGAAGGCCGCTCTCCCGACCGGGCCTCTCCTGTCTTGGTAGAACGCCGCCACCTTCGAGGATGTCGCCAAGGTGTCCTCCACGTATCAGAAGACGATCCCGGTCGAAGCAGGTACGTCCCAGCAGACACAGAGGCGTGGAGTCGCTGGGGAGTGGGGGGGGGGTCCCCACGCACCGCGGAGCCCCCAGGAAAACGCTGGAGCAGAGGGGTAGTGGG